CGCATGTGTATGTAAAGGCTGCCAAGAGCACATCAAGCCCAGGACAGGCATTTGTTTAGAGAGAGGAGTTCAAGTTATTTAATTATGTATTTACTTACAGTGATATGCTACCATCTATCCAGAGAGCACAAGCATTTTTATTCTCTGTTCACAGATGTGGCCCAGAGGAGTTAAATTAAGAAACTTTAAGCACTAATTACAATTTGGTGGCAGGAAAGTTTTTGCCCAGCTTTTAAAAAAATATAGATCTCTCATTCAAATTGTTAAGCTCCTTATCTATTTCTATAGCACTGTTAACACATTCTCGGGACCTTACACCCAAACTGTCACATGCTAATTAACATATATGATCCCTATTTTAAAGAGGGGGGAGTGGAAGACAGGAAGCAAAATGGATACATCTAAGGCTGCAGAGAGGTTTTGTCAAAAGTGAGACCTGATTTTAGTGGTTTGTGGACATCCAACTAGCACTATGACCACCTAACAGTAAAGCACTCAGCGGATGCAGTCAGAACCCATGTCAGTGAGAGTTTGGCCCTTGGTAGAAGAAAATATTACCTGCTTATTTCCATCTCTGGGACCTGATTGCAAAGTCCATGCTGATATCACGTTGAATCCTTTGACAACAGTGCACGTTGGGAAGAGGGAAGCCAGGTACTCCGCATTTGATTCTTTGTGGAGGTTCATTTCGGTGTTGTTGCTGACATCCACCAGTATCTTGCCCGTCAGCGCGTCACTCAGCTCGCAGAGCATAGAGTAGTGTTCCCTGAAAACGGCCACAAAAATAATATCGGTCTTCTTCACTGCGTCGGCCTGGAAAGTCACTTCTGTGGCCGACGGAAAGAGGCTGGCTTTGCGCTTGGGGTTGCGGCTTCCAACCACCACCTTGAAACCCGAGAATGTCAGACGAATGGCCAGGGAGCGTGCAAAGTCGCCGCTTCCCAGGACCCCGATGGTGCGGCCGACCGTGGGCACCAGGTTTGGGTCATTGTCCACGTTCCGACGGCCTAGGAGTGGCTTGGCCATGTCTCTTCCAGACATCCTTTGAGACAAAAGCAGAAGGGAAATGGTCATGCAAAGCTGCTGTTTTTACTGCATACCCTATCATCCCTGTCTGTGTCCCACAGAAACAAATCTGTGGGAAAGTGGCAAATACTTCCTACTACATGGGGACCTGCTTTGGGCTCAGGAAGGAGGGAATTCCCTCTTTAGCCTGCTGTTCGGTTGTATAGCACTGGTTCCCTGGGTGGGACTGTGGGCACTGAAGATGGTATGTCTGCATCTAAAAGCCTGAGCATGTCCTGCTTCTAGTTCTAGGAGACAAGACAGCTGGCTCGACAACATTTCTACACGTGGCCCAGTCATCACTAGTGGGGGACGGATACCACGCTAAGTGGGTGTGGGTAACCTGCAACCTTATTCTACAGTGGAGGCCTGTGCTTTCATAGCCTGAAATCCACTGGCTAGTCTCCAGTCCCACCCCTTGCTTTCCTCCATCCTGGACCGACTATTCTCAACCAAAGATCTATGGCACCGTGGGGTGCTGTACAATATTCGCACCGTGCACATGATTCACAAGATACATCCAGATATTTCAAATAGGAATCCATAGTGTCGAAACATTTTGACCTGTTTGGGTCCTTCTGACTTCTTTGCAAGTATCTATCCATAGTGGAAAAAGAGGTGAAACCTAAGGGTGGAGCTGGAAACATGAATGGAGATGAATGGAGAAGACTACATAGCACTTGTCTACCTTAACGGCTACCTCAAGCGAGCTCCAGCTCCTTAACGAGTAATAAAAATGTCCTCATAACAGGACTCGTAATGCGAGTTGGACTCATATTACTTAGTGCTTCTGTAGCACCTTCTCATTCAAGAAAAGTGGCCCTTCTACAAACGAAGAGGTGGATTAATAACATTGAACTCAGTTAACAAGGAGGCTATTGCTTGGCTGCGCGGATTTGCACCTGCTAAATAAATTCAAGACATTTCCTTAGTTTTGCAAGCATGAGTAAATTCAGCCTTGTATCACTTCAGGGGGTTTTCTTGTCCGCTACAGGAAGAAAATCTGAAGCCAAAAGAAGTTAGTCACTCGCTACTTGGCGAGTCCAGGGGTGCCATGAGTAGGACCCATGTCAGTGCTGATCACAAGAATACGGGACCCAGGACATAAGACCGACACTATCCCGGGCACCCCTGTGACGGTGCGGTCCGTCCCACCCACCCCCACAGCAGTGAGGTTTTTTTGCTCCCGCTGCGCCTGTTGGGAGCTGTTCCAGAAACTCACTGCTCTGATTAGAAACTTTCCTCTAATTTCCATTCGAGAGTTATTCATGATCAGTTGATATCCATTTGTTCGTGTGTCAATCTTGTTTTTTAGCTTAAACAGCTCTCTTTCTTGGGTCAGCCCAATCTTCCCAATAAGCTGTATGCACAGAAGGTTATTCTAAACCAAAGGGAGATAAATTTCTCTGGCTCGTTGGCAAGTGAACAGGAATCAGCAGTCAGGGTTACAAAATGGCCGTTATGGCTAACGCACCTCAAAAGCACTCTCGGAGCGCCCAGCCGGATCGGAAACTGTGCTGTGAGCAAAGCTTTCTTGCAGCGAGGCACTTCTGTTATGCAACAGCCATTCAAGGCATACAGGGATGCTGGTGATGGTTTGGGATAAACTGCCTTTCTGCTTCCAATTAGCTTGTTGGGAAAGGAAAGGCAAACAAGCGCAGAACGAAAGGAGATCGTAACATCCATTGGATTATTTTAATATTTTCAAGACAAAACCTGTTATTGTGCACAATTACATGTGGGATTCAGTCTGAGGAACATGGTGTCTGGGCAGCACTCCCAGGTTGTTCTCCTTGTGGCCAGCACTGAGTCCTGGTCCCCGGCTGGAGCTCCTACATGTATGTTAACAAGTGCAAGTGAGAAATAGTCCTTGTGCTGAACTACCTGGGGAGAGGGGAGGAGGGAAGCTCTCAGATCTCCTGGTAACCAGATTCCTCTAAATCTCACACAAATAACATGACAGATCTTATTAGGAGATGACAGGGAATGGATTCTTCAAGTAGGAAATGGTATTTTTGTAACTTCTGTATTGCCCCCCAAACACACACACATGCCCCAGCCCTCTCCCAGCCCTTGTTCAGTCATTCCTTCCCAGCTAGGCCTGTACCCTAATGTCCTTCCATGCCCTCCCCTCCCCTTCCCTGATCCTCCTGGCACAGTCTGTCTCTGCTCAGACTCACCTCCGTCTGCTATGCATCCTCGATCCTCCTACACCCCCATTACTCCTCCACTGGACCTACATATGATTCACCCCAGGATGCATCAACACTGCTCTCGGCCTTGGGGTCCCGTGCCCCTCCTCCATGTCCCACCAACATGACGCCTGTAGCACCCGACCTGGCCAGAGCCTGCTGTTCTTGCATTGGGCAGCATGGCTCCCTGTCAACTTTCAGGTCCCTCTTGGTCCCCTTCCCTTCTCCATGCACCCTTCCCAAACTCCTAGCCCACCTTCTGCTTCCCCTTCCCAATATGGAGAAGCCTCCGACATCTGACTCTGCTCAGCAGGTGAGCCTGGGAGTCAGTGGCAAATCAGTTTACAAATGCTGCGTTTCCTGCCAAGGCGAACAAGATGGTCCATCTTTTTTAAATGCACTGCCAGCTCTGCCCTCCAAACGGAAATCAAAATAATTTCTCAATGGCAAGGTCAGCCCCCTTCAGAAAAGATGTGGGGAATCTAGGCCAAGTCACGGTCAAGGTATCCAAACCAGGGACATCCTCAATGCAGTGAAAGACAGATGTGTTTCTTGAGCTCTGTAATTCAAAAGCTCCTTGATCAACCTTCACCAAACTTCCCAGAAACTGCCCCAAGATACTTCAGGCTCATTCCTTATCGGGCACAGCATACGATAATTTAAAACATAGGCTTGTAATGGCCAGTGAGCTTCAACCCTATGTAAGAAGCAGATACCACTGTCTGTTTTAAAAAGCTAATCTCCTCCACTGCATTATTAATAGTACTCCGGGTCATTATAGCTGGATGCTTTGGTAACGTCTAATTGACTTGTCACTATGTGTGCTGTTTACTTGTTGCACATCAGTCAGTCTTACTATTTGCAGTACAATACAGTGAGATGCCCCTAATCAAGACAGAGCACCGTGCTGTTGAGTCCGATACACACGTAGTAGGAGAAACCGAACTTACACCAAAATGCATGAAGTCTGGTTATCCCCACATGATACACAGGGGAGCCAAGACATGCAGTCAGTGTCACAAAAGGAAACCCAGGTCTCCAAGACCCAAGTCCAGTAACCTTCTCCAGTCCTTTTACTCGTTTTGGATACTGCAAATTAAATAGGCTGGCCAATATCACCTTTTTTATAGTTCCCTCTTAATAGATTTAACAGGAATTCTCACATGCCGTCAACTCCAAAGACTACGCTGGAGTCTGTATGTTGGCTGTAAACAGGCTCCACCTTAGTTTGGGTAAATAAATTGAGACGTATTTTTATAAGTCCTAGGTTTGAAAGGGTGGCTTATTTTTAAAAATCTCCTGCTCTAACAGGAAGCCCAGTGCTTGGGATGTGACAAGCAGCCAGACTGTCATCACAGCTAGGGAACGCTTCTACGGTCTCGATAGCGAGTTCTTCAAAACAAAAGCTCACTCAAGTCCTGTCTTGCAAACCTGTTCTCAGAGGACTGCCCCTTGAGCGCTGGGATTAACCAGCAGCATTTTGATTACAGTGTCAGCTCTTGTCTTCACTACTCATCATTATGTGGATAGGTTGGTCAAACACAGAACCACAAAAGCAGAAACTAAACTTCGCAAGAGGCGTTGGATCAAATCGCTGTTCAAGTGATACAAGTGCCAACTAAGGGCACACATTCTGCAGCCAGATGATCCCTTTTAGCCCCTGGCTCATTTGCACTACAGTAGTTCTCAGAAACCCTGGTCAGGATTGGGGCCCCATGGGGCTTGTGCTCTTCAAATGCAGAGGAAGACGTGGCCTCTGCCTGAGGGGCCCTAGAGCTACGGACATACCTGTCCATACTACTGCAGGTTGCAAAGCCTCAACGTTAAGTGTCAAGTCCCCTGGTGCTTCCCAAAGATAAAGTTGGAAAGAGACATTAGGTAACCTCCGGTTTGCACTCTTGAGACAGGCCTGCGTGCTTTCACTGGCAGATAGAAATATTCACTTTTTCTACTCACAGCTGTTTTGTTACAAGTGAAAAGAAGTTGTGTAGTTTCCTTCCCAAACCCAAAGAGGCCCCCCCGAGAAGAATACAGCAGGGGCCACAGACTTGCTGAGACTAGAACAGATTCAGATAAGAAAAGGGCTTATCCAAAGCTGCTTTATCCCAGGCTCTGCTACACGTTCCGGGAATCCTTTCACCTCCATCCAGACTGCATGGAAATAACGCTCCTGTTCTGCAAACAGCTCTACATACAGCAAGAAAAAAGTGGGGGGGAAGACTCCCGGCAATGGGGAAAAAAAAAGGAAACTTGTTGTCCTTTCTCTTTCTAAGCTCATTACCAGAAGAGTGCATGTTTGGGAGATGAGATGCGACGTGGCCCCCATTTTCAAAAAGGGGAGGAAGGAGGACCCCGGAAACTATAGGCCAGTTAGTCTTACCTCGGTCCTGGGCAAGCCTTTTGAGACAGTTATCCTGGCACATGTCCACGAGGGGCAGCAGGGGAGATTATGCTTAGGGGCAACCAGCATGGGTTCATTAGAGGCAGGTCCTGTCAGACCAACCTGGTGACTTCTACGGCCAGGTCACCAAATCCTTAGATGCAGGGGGAGCAGTGGACGTAGTCTTTCTGGACTTTCGGAAGGCCTTCGACACTGTCTCTCACCCTGTTCTCATTAAGAAACTGGGGGGCTGTGGCGTAGGCACCCACACAGTCCAATGGGTCGCCAACTGGCTGGAGGGCCGTACCCAGAGAGAGGTGGTGGATGGGTCATTTTTGACCTGGAGGGATGTGGCAGTGGGGTCCTCCAGGGCTCGGTCCTTGGGCCTGCACTGTTCAACATCTT